TATTTCTCCGCCTATCTAATTTATATGTAATTCTTTTATATATTTAACTAGTGAATTAGTTAATAAAACCTAGATCTTTTAAACCAACTTTTTTCTTTTTGTTACCACTCGCTTGGTATCCGTGCCTTAATTTTTGCAATATTTCCGCATCCAAAGAAAATCTAACATATGTTATTAAAATATTAGGCAATGGTTTCGCGATATTGCAAATATTATAATATTCCAATTTTCTTAAATATTTTTAACTTTCTCTAGTAATTATGTAAATTATGTACACAAAAGGGTATACCAAGGATTTTGAACGAAGGAACGTATCAAAGAAATTCTTATGTACATATTATTCAAATATTTTGTTTATATTTACTGAGGTTTATGTATGCGCCGGATTTTCAAAAACCATATATTTAAACTGTTTCTTCTATAATATTATAATTACACTAAAATATCATTTTAACAACTTTCTATGCATCCAGTGTATTCGTTTATTATTACCAGTATTCTTTAAATAAAAACAATAACAAGTATAATGTCTACAGATAAACATAAAACATATTTTACTATAGACATGTTTTGTTTTGCTTTTTATTCCTGAATGTATGTACATGAGTGTGTGCACATCATATGTGATACAATTTTAGAAGTGTGATATTTAATGCGTAAAGTAGATATTCGGTCATATTTAGCACGAAATTACACAGCTGATTTTCAATCAAAACGAGGCGATTTGTCACATTTATTTATCGGTTATATATTAGTTATTTCAGTAAAAAAAATGTATCCGGAGCATTTTATAAGAATGTAGAACAAATTGCAAAAATCATTTTATTGATATATCTTTTTATTTAGCCGTTCGCAGGAATTTTGGACATAGTTTTCCTGGCTTCTGACGTCATCAACCCAATATGGCCACAGTGACTGATGAGAAGACTTAAAGAAACGATCTATAAACAAGATATTGAAAATGTTTTGCTATTAAAATGAAAAATTGTGCAATTATTTAGAACATTATAAACTGGAAATACACTAGAATCCGTTAATCTACTTTTAACTCGTCGAATAGAACTATATATGCGGCGATAAGAAGAAAAATTTTAACAATTATACCACAAATTACTCCACATTCTACATATACATATGCTCCACAAATGCATGTATCGAGTGAGTCAATAATTATTGCCATTTGGAATATCTTCGAAACAAAGTTGGCTTTCAAATCTTTGAAGTTAGTGTATTTAAAGAAAAGTGTCTTATAATGATAAAGTTTTTTCTAAGTAGAATAACATCGTAGATTTCTCTCTCTCTCTCTCTCTCTCTCTCTCTCTCTCTCTCTCTCTCTCTCTCTCTC